ATAGTATAAGCAGCTTATGGGACAACTTTAAGCAATCCAACAGTTGCTTCATAGGGATGCCAGAAGAAGAGAATGAGCAAGAAATTCGAAATCTATTTGAAAAAAAATCATGAAAGAAAACTTGCCTGGTTTTGTGAAGGAAATACACCTGAAAGTCCAGGAAGCATAGAGAGTCCCAAGCAAGATGGATGCAAAGAGGCCCACTCCAAGACACATCAGAATTAAAATGCTGAAGATTAAAGATAAAGAGATGGGAAGGGGGGTGCGGGAGAATGCATGAAGAGGTGAGGGAATTAAGAAGTACAAATAGGTAGTTACAGAATAGCCACGGGGATATAAAGTACAGTACAGGAAATGGAGTAGCCAAAGCACTTATACGTATGACTCATGGACATGAACAAGGGTGGGGGGATTGCCTGAGGGAGTGGGAGGTGCTGGGTGGAGGAGGGCAAAGGGGAAAAATCAGGACAACTGTAATAACATAATCAATAAAATATAATTTAAAAATAAAAAATAAAAATATTTTTTAAAAAGTGCACAGTCAATTTAGAACATGTTTGTCACTTCAACAGGAAATGTCATACCCATTAGCAATCACTCTCCATAGTCTTCCAACCCCAAGCACCCACCGGTCTGCTTTCTGTCTCTACTGATGTGCCTGTTCTGGTCACTGCACAGCAGTGGTACAATGTCATACACTAGGTGGCCTTTTCTGACCGGCTGCTTTCATGTAGCATAATATTGTAGCATGATTCGTATTTTATTTCTTTTTTTAAATTGCCAAATAGCATCCTGTTGTATAGATACACCACATCTTATTTATTTTTTATCAGTTGATAGACATTTGGATTGTTCCACTTTCAAGCTATTATGACCTATGAACATGCAGGTACAAGTTTTGCGTGGGCATATGTTGTCAGTTCTCTTGGGTACATACCTAAGAGTAGAATTGCTGAGTCACATGGTAACTCTGTGGTCAACATGCTGAGACACTGCCAAACTCTCTTCCCAGGGAACAACAAGGGAAGATCGACACCTGGTGAATGTCAGCAAAGATGCCCAAGGCTTGCTGCTCTCAGCACTCCAGGAATTACTAAAAAGATTGGTTTAGATCAGGAGGCAAAGTGCTGCGTGGAAAGAAGCCAATTTCCAGACCCACACCCTTGTTTCCCACCCCCACCACCAGCTCTGCCCGGCCATGCCATTCCTGAGCCTTCTTCCTCAGCCCTGGGTGTCAGGTCGGTAGAAAAGGTCAGGCTGAGTTTCAGCAGCTGAGGTTCCGTGTTCCCCACACCAAGTACAGTGTCTGGCCATCTTGCTGCTCACCCAAGTGTCCAAGCTTGCAGCACACACAGGACTTGGGATCCCAGGGCCCACTCCTGCCACTGCCGTGTGTTATCCTAACACGGAGCCATGTGTCTGTGATTTCAGTGTCCCTCTGACTGCCGGGTGTGCGCAGAGGAGCAAGTGAGCATGGCAGCTGGGGCAAGACCTTTGAGAACTGTGGCTATTGGCAAGGGAAAAAGCCATCTGTTGTTTTGCCTTCTATTTGCTTTAGAATTTCCAAGAAAGTGAGCAGTTGGGCTGTTCAACTTTATTGTTCACAGTTGGAGTGAGAAGAGTTGGAATGGGAAACCCATCCTCCAAAGCTACAAAAAAAAAGGTCTCTTCTCAGGCTCTTTAATTGACCATGATGTCCTCTGTCCTCCAGGACAAGGGCCTCAGCTGAGATGTGGCCTAATCAGAAATCCCAACTTTTGAGGTCCACACCTGGATCTCAAAAGTTGCCTAGTAAGGCCCAGTTCTCAAATCTCCTGGCCAATCTGAAGTGGTAGACAAGGACCTGAGGGTGGGGAGGAGAAGTAAATTCAAGGATAAGCCACTCTTGGCACCACATAGGCAGGCAGCTGCCTTGGTTAACAATCAAAGATGCACCAACCTGGCAGAGAGGGCTGCCACCATCCATGTTTCCTGCCCTGACCTCCTGTGACTCGCCCACCACAGCCTCACCTGGATCAGCCCAAGGTGGTTTATGTCTAAGGAGACCAACCATCCCTGGACTAGAAACGTTCCTGGCATATGAGAACTGCAGTTTTCAAAAAGAAACAGTTCGTTTAACCAGGACTAGTTAGCCACTCTAAATGGTGACTTGTGAATTGCATCTCTAAGAATGGCTGCCTATTTTAAGGACTGAAGGGTTGCAAAGTCTTCCTGGGACTCTTGGGTCAGCTTAAGTCTCTGGCTTTAAGGGTGAAGCCTGAGGTGGAACAAGTGAGGGCAATGGACTTACACCCACAGCACCGAAGTCGCCCCACACCTCCACCCAGCCCATCTCCCAATTCCCGGACCTAAATCCATGCTTCCTGCAGCAAAGACACAGCCCCTCACACCGTCCAACTCTGTCCAGCCATGCCGTCCCCCAGAGCTGTCTTCTACCTGGCCCTTGGTATCAATTAAGTAGAAAAGTTAAGACTGAAGTTGTAGCTGGGTTTGATTACCTCCCAAAAGTCAACCTCACTAATAGAGCCTTGATTTTGTTCAGATCTTGGGTAACTGAGGGGTTTCCAGCCCCAGGGGCTGAGTTGTGGCAATTGCTTTCCTCTTTGCTCATGATTGGTTCAGGGTGGGCAAGTGAGCCCGGTCTGGCTAGGGAGATGTCAAAGAAAGTCTCCTGGGGGGATTCTGGAAAAGGGTTTAGGTCTGCCACCTCTTTGCTGCTTTGGAAGTTATTGAACGATGACCCAATTTTGGAACTCCTGAAGCCTTCACTATGTGACTGTTGGAAGGATGTGATCAGGGAGGAAGTAAAGATGATCACAGAGATACCTACCTAGAGCCACGTCATTGGTGAGTATTGAACCAACCCTCTACTTCAGATGTCTTGTTATGTGAAAGAGCACTCCTCAAAGAAGTCAGCGTCACGGGTACCCTGTGGCTTGCAGTAAAAACCTCTTGGTAGAGAAGAAGAAGAAAGCTTCAAGCCGTGCAGCAGAGAAAACCATGAGGAGACACTTTGGCTTTCACCTTGTCTCCAGGTAGAACACCTGTCTGACCCAACCTGGACAGATGTGCACCTGTGCTCCCCAAGACAGGAAGTTCACAAGCTTCCTGCCTCTTCGTCCACACTTCCTCATCATCCTCACTGCAGGATGACGCACGTCCTTGGAGCTGGAGGGCCTTGGGGTCACCCCCATGGGACCATGCAACGAAAGGGCCAACCCATCACCCCAAGCTCCTTCCTTTGGTGTGGATGGTGGTCAAGGGAGAGAGCTCTGGAGTACACTTGCTGTACTCCAAGGCAAGTTACTTAACCTTGCTATGCCTCAGTTTCTTCACACGTCATGGGGATAATAGTGCCTAGCCCACAGGTTATTGTGAAGACAGTAAGGATGAAATGTCAAGTGCATCACAGGTTCCCAGAACCACCCTCAAACTTACTGATTCACTAGAAGTATTCACAGACTAAGAAAAGCTGTTACAGGCATGATTCATTTACCACAGCTGAAGGATGCAGATGAAGATCAGCAAAAGGTACAAGGAGCACAGGGCAGGGTCCAGGAGAGACCAGGCACAAGCTGCCAGTCTGTCCTCTCTCGGTGGAGTTGTAGGGACAACGAATAATTTTTCCAGCAACAATGCGTGATGATGTGTGTAAAGTACTGTCAACAAAGGAAACCTTGTTGAGCCTCGTTGTCCAGTGTTTTTATTGGCGGTTAATAACTGGAAGTAGAGTGCCACCTAGGCTGACCTCAGTTCCTCAGTCTCCAGTCCCTCCAGAGGTCAAACTGATACAGCCCCACCCAGGGTCCCCACCATCGAACACACTGTGAGCATAAACTATCTGGCTGGGCCCGAGGCCCCAGGTAAACTAAGATGTTCTTATCAGGCAGCATATTGCAAGGGCTTAGGGGCTGTCTCCCAGGAATCGGTCAGGAGCCAGACCTGTCTATGAAACGTGCAAGATTTGAACATCCCCCTTGCTGAGTCAACCCTTCACTGCACCGACACATAAGAAACCCCCAATATCATTTTTGTTTCTTCTTACATCAGGCTGAAATCTGCCTCCCACTACAGCCATCCTTTGTAGTACTACCCTACAGAATTATATGACTTCAGTCTAATCTTTCTTCCTCATTGTTGGGGGTGGACCCTTCTTCCCCATTCCTCTTTCAGTATGGAGGGGCTTCCGCTCAAGCAACCTCAGGGGTTCTCCTTCCTCTCGCTCCTGTCCCGGGAAACGGGAGTGACTTTCTGACTGGGGGATTTAGAAGACAGATCAGCTCTTGCCGATCTCCTGAGCTGTCCTCCAGTGGAGAGGTCACACTGTCTTGTTTACAGAAGCAGCACAGGTTTCATCAGCACAATGAGCTCATGTGACTCCAGGCTTTGGAGCCCTACAAGCTCTGCCGACCTGATTGGCCAGTCTGCCGACTACCCAGAGAGGAGGTAGAGGTGCGCAAAGACAGGACAGAAAAGTGAGGTATGACAGCCTGACAGTGAAGGCAGACAGAAAAGCCAACCAGGTGAGCATGAGAACCGCGAGAGTAAAGCAGCCTGAGGCCATGTAGTGCTGGACGAACGAGAGACCCTCTCAGCAGCCCATGCATTAAGCAACAAATCATGAGCCTTGAGTCATTAAAAGAAAGGTAAATCTGTTCCACACAATCAGTTTAAGAAGATTAAATATATATATATATATGTTATACATTTCAGCAATATTACCATTACAAACAGGAAAGCAGTTAAAAGGTGAAAGTCACAGGTGTCTCTGAAAGACATTGGGGCGCCTCCTTCTTGGATGATGCTGGATAAATGGAGCTTCACTGAAAGAACATACTGGGGTCTTTTTGCCTCTTAGCAAGGTGTTATTTAGGTAGAAGGAAAGCGACAGAAATGGGGGAAAGGGGAGCAAATGGAAAGAGAATCAGGACTTGTCCTTCCATCTAAAAAATCTTCTACTTGGAGGCTCGGCTAGAAGCGTGGCTCCTACTGATCCAGCCTCAGTTTGCCTGGATCTTCCTGGGGAGGCCCAGCGCTGCCTCACAGCCCTGGACCCGCAGCATGTACTCCAGCCGCTTGCAGTGCTCCCGGAGCTGCTTCTCCCGGGGCAGCAGGAAGGTGAGGACCTTGTTTCGCACGATGCCCCGGTCCTCCTCCTCCCTCAGCCGCTGCTTCACGCGGGCTGCCTGCTCCTCCTGCTGCGCCAAGGCCCCATTCATCTCACAGAAGGCGTCTTCCAGGTAATGGATGGCCTTCAAGGCCTCCTTCTTAAAGTCCTCCAGCTCCCGCTGCACTGCGGCCACCTTCTGCTGCAGGATCTCCAAGTCAGCTGGCAGCAGCGGGTAGGAGGGCCATGACTGGGGGAGGGAAAAGTCTCCAGACTGGAGGCCACTCTCCACCATCTTCTTCCCTTGTAAGGTGTTCACCTTCATGAGAATGGACCCCGCCTGATAGAGTGGGTCCATAGGCTTTCTTCCTGTTTGGACAAAGAGAAGGAACTAGGAAACCACCGAGGTGAGTGAGGTTTTGGGGAGGGAGCTAGAGACTAGAGACACAATCATTTGGAGTGGAGAAACCCACATACTGTGACATCAAGGGCTCCTTCAGCCAATCAGGAGGAAAAGCTACAATCCATTCATTTGCATATTATAGTTCCCTTGGTTAGTTATCTAGAGCTTTTTCTGCTCATCTACCCAAGAAGTGGTCCCTCTTGAGATGTGGATTCTGATCAACTCATCACCCTTCCAGAACCAGAGCTCCCTCGCTCCTTGAACCTGAAAGACAGGGAAGTAGACCAGCCGGAGCAAAGCTCACTGGCTGCTGAGGCTGGGCGGTCTCCCACCCTGACAAGGGGTCTGGAGGGTCTTGGAAGGGTCTTTGGACTTCAGTACCTAATCAGTGAAACAAAGATATTGTAAGAGATAATACCTAATCCCACTTCTAGCTCTAAAATGCTATAAAAAAGTAATTTCTGATTCCAATCCACACTCCTATAATGATGTCAGGATTCTAGATAAAGTTAGCAGCTGTGAGAAATGTACTGAGGTTCTGATGTACAGTCCACAGCAGTGCTGACTCAGGGCGTGCAGGGTGAAATCGGGTCACTCAGGCGTTTGTTCTCACTGAGCACTCACTGTGCACCAGGACCAGGGAGTAGGTGTGAGCAAGAGTGACGGGCCCCCGCTCCCCGCCCTGCCGGATGAAGCCTGATCGTTGACAGAGATGAGAAAAGACATCTAGAGGGGTGAACCCCCCACTTCTTACCTGATTACTCTAAGAAAGGAAAATGTTTCTAGCTAACCTATGTTTGGTTTAGTCAAGAACAAACCTCTAGCCCTGGCTGGTGTGGCTCATTTGGCTGGGCGCTGTCCCACGAACCCAAAGGTCAGCAGTTCGATTCCCAGTCAGGGTGCCTGCCTGGGCTACGGGTTCTACCCGAGGTCAGGGCATGGGCAGGAGGCAGCCAGTCAAACGTTTCTCTCTCACACCAATGTTTCTCTTCCTTCCTTTTTCCCTTCCCTTCTCTCTAAAATCAAAAATTAAAATTAAACAAACAAACAAAAGAAAAACAGCTCTCAATCTCTCGTCCCGATTTCTTTTCTGACCTCCAAATCTGAACATCTCTTCCACATTGTGCCTCAGATGCAACACAGTGCCACCCAAAGTTGGCCTGGTTACCATCTCGTTCACACTGGTGTCTGTTCCCAAGCTGCCATCAGTTCATGACACCAGCCTGAGGCAGCTCCCACACCAGCATCCACATGAGGAACCTGAGACCAACCTAGACCCCGTCCCAGTGGCTCTGAGTCCTATTGACGCCACCCCCTCCAAGCACTCCAGCACCAAACCACTGGGTCAGGGTCTCAGCCCCACCACCTACAAACTGTGTCTCTGTGGCAAGCTACCTCACCTCCCCGAGCCTCAGTCTCCTTATCTACACAGTCGGGACACGAATTCAGTGGTGTGCCACTCACTGGAAGGAAAAAGTAAAAGCTCTGATTTAGAGCTGCTGCCACCGATTTCCAGAGTGTAAACACTCCCACCATGGCTGATCTCAAGCTTCCAGCAGGGCGTTTCCGGGAAGAGATGCACACAACCAGCCCTCGTGAACCTACACGAGCCGATGACGCTGCAGCCACGGGGCCCATGGTGGGGGCAGCTGTCTTCTCCGAAGTGCACACTGACCCACCCAGAATGCCTTGCAGTGGGCATCAGAGAGGGGACTTTGCAGGGAATTTCATGACTAAACTGAGGTATAATTTTGTATCTCAAGATGGGATGGTCCTGGTTGGTGTGGCTCAGTTGGTTGAGCATTAGCCTGTGAACCAAAGGGTTGTTGGTTAGATTCCTGGTCAGGGCACATGCCTGGGTTTTGGGTTTGGTCCTCCGTTGGGGCACGTGTGAGAGACAATGGATCAAAGCTTCTCTCACACATCGATGTTTCTCTCCTTATCTTTCTCACTCCCTTCCCTGCCCCCTCTATCTCTCTTTCAAAAAAAGAAAAGAGATGGGATAGCAACTCCAAATTCAAAACAGACTGTTTGGTGGAAAGGCACTGTTCCAGGAGTCGGGAGATCTGGTGTCTGGAATTGCTGTGGGACCCCAGGCCCAGCAGCTCCCTCCTCTGAGCCTGCTCGCCTTGCTGTACGGTGGGGACTTGGGAGACAACTCCTCCGAGGTCACTGATGTTCTGAGATCCACACAGGCCTCCCTTTCAACCTCTCACAAGGCTCCAAACACCTTCTCCCTCTTTTTGTGACCTAGGACTTGTCCCTCCAGGTCGCCCACCCCCCAAGACACAGTGAATTCCCTGAGGACAGGGACTGTGCATTTCTCGTCCTGGGTACAATCAAGTGTCCTGCCTGGTGCCCTGCGCATAATGGCACTCAGAAAACGAGATGAAATAAAGGTCGTATTTGTAGGTGGCTTCCCTGGCTTTCCCTCTGACATGGCGACACCCAGCGGTCTGAGAGGAAACAGCATCCCCTTTATTCCCAGACTCGAGATCCCGCTGGGCACTGGGAGAGGCGTAAACAGCCTGCGGTCTTGTGGTGTATTCATTAGGGTGTGTGAGCAGCTCCAGCCCATAGTAGGTCCTCAATAAGTACTTTTTGAACCAGCAAAAGAAAACGTGTTTCTGTCTTGTGGTTTCTGTCATTCTTTGAGTCTCTCCCCACCCTCCCCGACATTGATTCTCTGCCTCTTTGTGTCTGTCTCCCACAGGTAACGCTGGAAGTCATAACCAGACCTGTGAAAGTAGCGGAAGTTAAGAAGAAATAGCAAGTTCTCAATTTCCCTGGTGCTTTTTAATGAGGTTCCCGTGCATTTCTCCCCAGAGCTGTGTTTTCCCCTGAGCTTCAGCAGAGGGTGAGAGCAAACAGCACTCAGTCAGCAGAGGCCCCCCAGGAGTGGTGGTTCGGGAACCTTCCAGGCGTCCTCAGCAGGGGCAACTGGCCTCTGGGCACACGCTCTGCATGTTCCCCTCCTAGAAGCTGCGTAGTCCAGGCCAGTGCCTTCCTCACAGATTTCCTTCCCCGCAGCCTCGGAAAGACAGCAACTCTATTTGTCCTCTTCAAGGTGTCAAGAGAAGACTTTCTGACGTCTCCTGGCAAGGCACGCACCTCTGGGGCCCTGTCAGGAGGCTTTCTCTGTCCCTGGTCTATTTCCACAGCCCCAGGCTCCCCGTATCTCAGGATGACGGGGGGAGGAGAGGCGGGTATCAGAGCCACAGAGATCCAGACCGCGTCCCTGAGCATCAGATTCAGCCTGAGTGGGGAGGGTCTCAGGGGCAGACGTGTTTGAGGAGATCCCAGGTTGGGGACATTCCTGCCCTTGGGCATCAGCACCCCTCCCCAGCGCCTGTCTTGTGCCCCCTGCCCATGCCTCTGCCTCTGCGTGTGAAATAAAACCCGACCCACTTTAGGAACCACAAAAGGGACACAACATATATGCACTCCTTCATGTACCTCTTTCAAAGTTAGAGGAACCCTCCTCACACCCCATTAGAATCACATTCAGGGGCCCATTCCTAACCCCAGTACTGCCTGGGGGTGGAGCTCCCTTTGCTGGCTCAGACTAATCCTGGGGCCCCTGGGGCTGGGCAGAGCCTCCCCAAAGCACAGGTTTCCCAGTGCAAGGACAAAATTGGGGTTCTGTTCCCAATCAAGAAAGGGAAGGGGAAGCAACCAACTGTGGATTCCACAAAGAACAGTTATATTTGAAAAGTCAGTGAAAAGACCATGCTTGTGCTCTAAAAGTGAACTAATGTCAGCTTTCAAGCAGAGTCTCCTAGGGGTCCCTTAAAATTGGTCTATCTCTCCCGTATCCAAGAAAAAAAACATGGGGAAGAAGCACCTCAGAATGCAGAGCAGTCTCTCACCAACACGAACAAGCACGTGGTCGGATATGTCCAAAGCAGAAAAGGTACCCCTACCCCACACACCGTCTCCCCAGAACCCCCCAGGCCTGGGGGAGGATGCTCCATAGCCTGTGTCTCCCCAGATGAGCCCCTACCAACAAGAGCACCCTGTGCCTTCCTGGACACCATGTGCCTTCCATCCAAGCCCACAGAGGGCCCCCCTCCAGCTTCCACTCATCCATCCATCCAACTGCCTATCCCAGGACATTCCCCAGAACCTGCTCTGTGGACATGGGGCTGGGCAACAGGGAAGTAAGATAGCAAATGAGCCAGAGAGGACCTCTGCTCTAAAGCTGCTGGCATTGCAGCAGAAGGAGACAGACAGTAAAATAAAGCAGTCAGCGAAGAAGGTGGTTTGGGCTGGCCTAAGGGCTGGGGAGGAAATAAACAGGACAAGGGGATGGAGAGCCTGTGGGGAGGAGCGCTCAGTGAAGGCCTTTGTGAGGGGAGGGCATTGGGGTGAGACGGGAATGACGAGGCTAGCCGGGGTTGATGTTCCAAGGGGAGCAGCCGTCGGAGAGGCCTTGCAGTAGGTGCCCCGAGCTGCAGCAGATGTGAGGCGGTGCCCCAGTGCATCCAGGTGCACCGCCCAGGGCTACTGTCGCTGGGCATGACTTCCTCCTCTGCAGCTGGTATTCCAGTCCGGGGAATGGGGACAAGGCTGGGATGGGGGCAGGGACCAGGACCAAGAGCCAGGCTCGGTGCTGTTCACCATGATTAATGAACTCAAAGCCAGGGCCCCAAGGCCCAGTGCTAAAAATACCTGCTTCCCTCCGCGATGCGGCAGCTGCCACCCAGCAACGTCTGCCTGCCGCCATTTATCATAATTTGACACTGATAAGGAGTGTCCACGGGGCTGTGTGTCTGCAGGAACAGGACGCGCCCGCAGTCCACCCGCCGGCTGGTTTGTGGAAATCGTCCACAGCACTTTCCTGCCTGAACTCTCCTCCCGTCCCTGAACCCCGCCCTGGCCACCCGTGGATGCGCCTGCCTGCCGCCCACCCTCCACCGGCTTGCTGGCCTCCCCTCCTGGAGCCCAAGCAGACC